GCTATAAAAGGCCTTCTCCTCCTTCATTTCAATACACACCAAGATATGAGCTGAATTATAAGAGGCTCTTTGTATTCTTTTTTTATACTTAGAATAAGGGAGAGAGTGAGGAAGAAAGAGTTGGAGGAGTTCCGGAATTGTCGGTATCTCTCTATTTCTTTTGTACCATAGCAATTACTTTGCTCTAGTTGAGAATATTTTAATTAAGTAATTAAGATTTATCTTGTGTGGTATACTTCTTTGTTAGTTATATTTAGCTTGTTGGATCATTGTTCAGTATTGTTCATTAAGAAATAGTGATTATTTTAGTGTTTAGTTAACGCTAGAGTAGTAATTAATTGCATAGACATGGTGTTTATGTAGTTAATTCCCAGTGTTTGCTGCGTATCCCACAATACGTTAGAGGTGTTAATAACCCTCGAGATCACCGTAGTCCTCCCTATCCGGCTACGGAGTAGAGTGCGTTCTAATAATAGCAAGCAAGCAAGTGCCTGAAGCATAGCGATTAGATTAAAGTTAAGCTTTCTAAATGATCATGTACCACATTAGATAATCTTCTTTCCCCTTTGGTCAACATTTATCTTGTGTCCTTGGATGAACATGAAGAAGAGTTAAATACACACGTTCAATGTGGAAATTCAATACCTTGGAATACTTCCGGATAAAGTGCTACAACGGTATATTTGTGCGCTTGCGGATTTTATATGTGAACGTAAGAAATACTAGCATCCAACAAGGCTAAGTTTAGAAGCATAATGTTCTTCCTTTAAGTGTAATTAGATCCATCAAAGGGAACAACAGTCTTATAATGTCCCATTGCTAAACATAAACATTTAAAATATTAATAATGCATATAATTGATTTAAATTGGCTTAATCTATTACGTGCGAATTAAATATAGAATTTTCATAGACAAAACACTGTTGAGCAGAAATAACCATAAAACAATATTTAAAGTTAATTCCTTAATTATATCACCGTTGGGCAGAAAATACTAAGGGATAATATAATAAATATATTTGACATGAATTTATAATAATATTGTGTCGACGGTTGAGATCTCGACTATGGTATTTGCATGGTATGGGGATCGTTGGACCATGGTATATGCGAGATTGAGGTAAAAGAGATGGAGACAAGGATTTTTATACAGGTTCGGGCCCCCTTATCTGACAGGAAATAGCTCTACTCCTGTTAGCCAAAGCCGGTGTTCCTCTTATTCCTCTGGATCACACAAGTACAATATTTGGGATAACTTATCTAGCTATCGTCGACTTGGCGGCATGAATATCCAACTCGTAGTTGATGATAGGGTAGTCTTCCTCCTCGAATATGAACTCGTCAAGATCAGAGATGGCGCTAGATTCCTCTTGCCGGCCTCCGTAGGCACCGGATAGGGTATGTCTAGGCTAATCTTTGATGTCAATATGTGGCAACGAGTGTTGGCTTGTGTATATGTTGTGTCTTGTGGCTTATCCCCTCTCCTCCCAGGGGGGTTTGTATTTATACCCATAGGTGTCCCCTTGTCCAAGTGGAACTAGCTAGGGAGATCAATATGGATACAATCCGAGTAATCCTTGTCGTTTCCATGTAGAACTTTTCTTGTTCTTCTTTATCCGAAACTCCTTCTATATACGAGGTTTGATTCTGTATAAGACTTGGTATGCAGTGGACCCCGCCGAGCTTAGTCGATTACTATTGGGTATGTGGTATCCATAACCCTAACACATTGGTCAAAAAATAATTTCATATCATTACTCTTTCTAGTTAAACTTCTCGTTGGTTCCATTTAACCAAAAATAATTTACTTATTAATCAAATAATACTTTTAGCAATTTAATTAAGCTAAGAAAAAGTATAAACAAAATTAAACATCTAATTTGATGGGATTGAAATTAAACTTCTAATTTTGGCCCAATTTCTTCCAGAATCGACACAAAATCGGGCCGACACATTTCTGCGAATGCGCGGGGCAAGAGGCATGTCGCCCACAACCTTGGCCCATTATGACGATGGCCCGACGCAGGGATGATCTGAGCCATCCGATCTGATGGATGGCACGGATCGTCTCCACGTCGTAGTAACCACCGGTGGGTGGTTATGGTGAGAACCCTAACCCTAATTTCAATTATCTCCCCTTCTCTCCCCGATCCCCTTCCCCCGGTGATGCGTGAGAGCGGACAGTGGCAATAGCGCTGACAGCGACCGGCGATGTGAAGCGCGCGCACGGCGACAAGCGTCGTGTGGTGCGGTTCCATCTTCATCGGAGGGGTCACGCCTAAGGGCGGCACCAAGCCGTTCCACGGCTTCGGTGGTCCGGCGAAGCGTGAGGATGCAAGCAACAGCGGGCGCCAAGCGGCTCTGGGTATCGTCGGTAGGGCCCGGAGCATAAGCAACGCCAAGCCAACGCTTCCCATTCCCGGCGAGAACGGTGGGGAAAACTCCACTCCTGAGGAGGCCATATAGATCCGGCGAGCTTTGGGTTTTGAATCCGGTAAATAACCTGAACTTAAAATTAATTTTGATTCACCAAAAATTGGGATTTTGGATCTTTAGGCCGAATTAGGGTTCTTGAGTCTTGGGGATTTCGGGGAATTGGGGTTTTGATTCAATCCGGCTTATTGTGGATTTTGGCATAGATTGAATTGCCTTATTCCCTTCTTCTAAGCAGAAGATTAAATAACTTGAAAATTGAATATGCAAAACAGTAGTACTTGAAACCCTAATTTTGATCTAACTAAAACAAACCGAAACATAATTGAATTTTAAATTGCTTAGATGGCTTCTAACAGGGATGATGTGATCAATAAGGGATTGATTATGCTACTATGATACCACAATATTGGAGTTCTAAATTACAAGAATCTGGCCTGAGAGACAGCGTCTCGAGTGCCTTCTAGTGCAATTGCCGATTAGTGGCTATTAGGTCTTAGGGTTTTGGTGAGATATTAGAGCGTCCTCTCCTCTCTGCGAAGTCATCTTTATATAGCACTGGTGGTGTACAGGAGCTCATCTCCTATACTAGGAGTCAAAATTAATTTTATCCAATCGCAAAAACTAATTTCTCTCTTTATCTAGCATCTCCAGTAATACCACCTATTTTAGAGCCCCTAAAGGAAAAAAGAGGGCTGCCCCTAATTCTTTAGGATCTCAAAATTTCATTCAACTCTAGCAGCAACCCTTATTTCTCAGCCCCTATTTACTTTTCTCTTCTATTTTAAGATAGACTTTATGTTTATGTTTATGTTCATGCATAGTTTAAGACCATGATAATTAAAACATAAATATTTCTAGAGCATGAAATTCAATTATATTTAGATTTACAATTTGAAACATCACAATTCAAATTCAATGCTACATGTAGTACTCCAATATAATGAAGTGCTGTACTGCTGTTCACTGAATAAAATCAATGTTCAGTTGTCCACTACAACCACAAGTACTACTACTTCACTTCACTATAGCCGCATGGTGCCTACAAGAAGCAGCAGCAGCAGCGCAGTTCTTCAGATAAATCGACAGGGGGACGGAGGGCGGTGTGCAGGTGGCAGCCCTTTCGCCTGCGTGCAGAGGTAACGCAGGTGCGGGCAGAGGGCGTGCTGTTGTGCGGCAGGAGGGCGGCTTGCAGGTGGAGGGCGTGGGGGGTAGGCGGACTGCAGGGGGCATGAGGGGCGGCGTGGAGGCAGCAAACGGCGGGAGGACGGAGGGCGTGCGGGTGGTGTGCGGATGGGAGGTGTGCAGGCCGACGACGGGTGGCGTGTGGACGGCGGCGCTGGAGGACAACGGGATGGCGTGCAGATGGCGGCGTGTGTCTAGTCGGATGGCAGGAGGGCGACGGTCGGAGTCTTTGCAATGACGGGCAACGGAGGTAGGGAAAATCTCACCCTTTGGGGGCAACCTTGCTGAAAGTGCAAGGGATGTCGATGGCGGCTGCCGAAGGAGAACCAGTACGCGCGGGTAGAAGATGAGAGCGGCGGAGTGAAATTGTTCCGCGCAAGAAAAAACATCGATGGAGGCTGTGCTCCGAGCCCCCAGAACTTAGGGCTTGAGGGCAGGATTTGAGGGCCTCTTCACTTTGGGGGCTCTAATAGGATCCCTGCTGGATCTAGTTATTTTATCTTAACCCTCAAATACTGTTTAGGGGCTAGGTTTGAGATCCCTGCTGGAGATGCTCTACATCCGACTCGTGGGCTCCGATAAAATTAACCAACACAAGTTCCAGCCCCAATTCCCTCTTGACGTCGTACCTTCTCCCCGACAAGTAGCTCCATCGCGTGGCACATCTGGTCTCGTAGTCCGATCCGTTACATCGGAATGCCGATGCCCGCCTGCATGTACTATACGAACCAAAACGCTGTCCAACTTTTGCTGGTTCATCTGCATCGATCTTAATTCCGACCACGACATAGCCGCCGCCGGCGACGAACGAGTACTACTACCGCCTCTCCCTCAGGATGCTGGAGCTATATTAGCTATCCACCCGGAGCGGATCCCGGGCAGCCAAAGCTACAAAATGAACACCATCGAGGTGCTGAAAAAAAGCATCATCAACTGAAAATTTCCGTTAATACACTTTGTCCTCTGAGGATCTGATCAAACTCAACTATAATTTGTCAAAGGATCTGAGCAAACTCTAAATTCCAATTTGAGCAGGAGAAGGTGCATGTAATCCGTGGCGCAAGAGAAGATGCAAAAGTGGCTTGCCGGCGAGAGAGCAAGTGCCTGGCTGCCTGCTGCTGATGAAACTGATCCATACCGTACCGTACCATTGCCAAGAACAAGACGATAAAATCCAACTTGCTGGTGAACGGAGACCGGAGCAGTATGCCACATGAACAAATACCTCCTGTGCTAGGATTCGTGGAAATGATGAAAAAATGAGAAAAGGGAAGGGGGCGCTAGGGGCGGTATTTAATAGTACGTCTTATAGATGGTCTTTTTATGTGATCTGAACCAAGCTGGACAAAAGTCACATCTTCCGGGTTGGTCTTTTATGCCCACATGGGTGTGGAATATGGGGGAAAGTTAAAGGGAGAGAGGACACTAAGGTGTAACGCGTTAAGACCACGCTCTCTATTGATGCTCCTCCGATCCCGTATGTAGTTTGTTGAGAGACTATCATGTTTCATGTTTGTTTACTTCCGAACAGCTGGTAGACCTCTCTAGGAATAAACTCCATACCTCATTCAGCACATTCCCAAACAAAATACGAGAGATTTGCCAAGAAGGTGAAAGATCAGGCACAGAGAAATCAAGAGGTTCGAGCTAGACGATGGAGTTGGTGGTAGGCGCTTCGGAGGCCACCATGAAGGCCCTCCTGGGCAAGTTGGGAAACCTCCTCGCCCAGGAGTACGCGCTCATCAGGGGTGTCCGCGGCGACATCCAGTACATCAGCGACGAGATGGCCAGCATCCACGCCTTCCTCACCAATCTCAGCAGCTCTGGCAACGACGACGGCCACGACGCGCAGACCAAGGACTGGATGAAGCAGGTCCGCGACATCGCCTACGACATGGAGGACTGCGTCGACGACTTCGCCCACCGTCTCCGTCACGATCCCCGCGGGGACGGATGCCTCGTCGAGGTGTACAGGGCGCTGTACGAGATCTACACCTGCAGGCCTCGCTGTGACATCGCCGCCAAGCTCGCCGAGCTCAAGAACCGTGCTCAGCAAGTGGGCGAGCGGCGCTTGCGATACGGCGTCGTCCTCAACCCGATTCCCCCTCAGCGCGGCGAGACCCGCAATGGTGACCAGACCACGGGAGAGAACCAGGTGGCCGGGCGCCGGCTCATAACCGTAAAGGAGCCCATCGGCGTGGCGCGCGCCATCGAGAAACTCGAGGCGTGGATGAAAAGCCAAAGTCACAAGAACCGCGGTGTGCTAGCCATCCATGGGTTTGGTGGCGGGGGCAAGAGCACAATCGCGGCGGCGCTGTACCGGAAGCATGGCCAAAATTTCGACTGCCGAGCGTGGGTGACGATGCCCCAGAAGTTTGACGACCGTGCGGTCCTCAGGAGCATCCTGAGTCAGGTCATGCTGCCTGCCACTGCCAGTGGTGGTGGCGACCGCAGGCGACGAGGAGGAAGCAGACACGCAAAGATTGAAACCATGTCCCAGGAACAACTCATCAAAGGGCTGAAGAACCACCTGCAAAATAAGAGGTACCTACCTACTACCTTAACCGAACGTTTTTACATAGAGTGTATATTGCACTGACCGCAGGGTAGTACAACTAGATCAATAGATGGCCAAAAGGCCCGAGGCCCGACGACCCGGCCCACGGCACGGTGTTTTGGCCTGGCCCAAGCACGGCACGGCCCGTCAAGGGTCGGGCCCGTGCCGGCCCGGCCCGACCACCGGGCCGTGCCTGGGCCTCTCCACTGGCACGATGGGCCGCAGGCCAGGCCCGACACATAAACAATAGGGAGTAAAAATAGACATATTATTTGCCACGGTCGAAAGAATAGGGACGTAAAATAGACTTATTTTACCTATATATATATATGTCAGCCCAAAGAGGAGGGGCGGAAAATAGACTTACTTCCTCCGTCCCACAATACTTGTCTCTTTCGCATTTAAAATTTGTCCCAAAATAGGCGAAATTGCTATTTGGCGATCGGTCGCGCGCACCCCTCTCCGTGCGACTGGACACGTGGCGCGCGCGGAGAGGGGGCGGCGACGGCGCGCCGCGCGAGAGGAGCTCCGTGTTTTCCCTTTTTTTTTTGTTTTTCTCGGTTTCTCTCTTTTTCTTTTTCTGTTTTTATTCCATAATATCCGTTTTTTCTTTTCCGTATCTTTTTTCTGTATAAATATGTATGTATGCAAACTTTGTATACGCGTATATAAAGTTTGTATACGTGTATGCAAACTTTGTATACGCGTATGCAAACTTTGTATATGCGTATGTAAACTTTATATACGTGTATTTTTTTTGTTTTTATATGTACATATACCAATTTTGTATACACATATATAAAGTTTGTATACATGTATTTTTTTTAGGTTTTTATACATACGTATACAAAGTTTGTATACACATATATAAAGTTTATATGCACGTATTTTTTAGGTTATATATACGTATTTTTTAGGATTTTTATACATGTATATTTTTTTATAGTAGTAGTAGAATAGTAGTACTAGTAGTATTACTTACTACTACTAGTAATAGGTAGTAGTATCACTGTATGAGTAGTAATTGTAGTCTAGTAGTAGTAGTGCTTAGATTAAGATGGTAGTACTACTCCTAGGTTGTGATTAGATTCAAAGTTTGATCCAAACTTCAGTCCTTTTCCATCCCATCAACCTGTCATACACACACAACTTTTCAATCACATCATCTCCAATTTCAACCAAAATTCAAACTTTGCGCTGAACTAAACACAGCCCTGGAGTCCTGGGGCGTGCGATTAGGAGGACTAGTAGTAGAAGTACCTTAGTACTAGTAGTGGTCGCGCGCCTGGAGGTGCGCGCGATTAGTCGCCCATTAGCGTCACCCCAAAATAGTTGTCACTTGCAAGTAGTACTTGTCACATCAACCACTTCAAATTCAAATTTGTCTCCATCATACCCCCAACCACCATTCAACATCTAACTATATAATATTTTATTAAGGGTATTATAGTCTTTTTCTTCTAACCTTAGCACATGCTAAACAACCTAGAATGACAAGTATTCTGGGACAGAGGTAGTATTTCACTATATATATGTCACAGTCTAAATTGGAGGGACGGAAAATAGACTTATTTTCGCTATATATATGTCACAGCCCAAACAGGAGGGACAAAAAATAGACTTATTTAAAAAAGGCACGATGGGCCACCCGCGCCTTCGGGCTGGCCCGACACAGCCCGACGGCTGGTGGGCCGTGCCTGGGCGGGAGGCGCAGCCCATGGGCCGGCACGGCCCGGCACGAAGTGCCGGCCGTGCCTGGGCCGGGCCATGCAGGGCGGGCCTTTTGGCCATCTATAACTAGATCACACTTCTTATAATTAATACTTGCTTAACCGTAGTGGCAAACCTATGATTTTAGGATTTCAACACAAAATCTTGGGTCTATTTGGTTCTCTATCCTATCGATTTAATGGTAGTGCACAAATTTAGGTAAATTTTGGCACTTCCAATTCTTTGGTAGGATAGAATTCATATAATATGTGTTTGGTTTGCTACCATTTGTTACCAAAATGCTTGTTACAGTGAAGAAAGTTTTAGAGTGCTACCAAATTATGTATGTGTATTGCCAATGCTTCGGCTCTAATCCAAACCAATCAAACTACTATTTCAATTGCCAAACAATTAGTAGCGCATATTTTGGCATCAATCCAAAATGACCCCTTAAGCGCTATTACGAGTCTTTATCTATGCACACAAATAAAAATTAATTAATTTATCAAGAGCACGGCACAAATATCATATCCATATATAATTATTTGATTGATTTAATTTAATCAAAGTCACAAAACAATGTTATCTTTGAACTCGTTGATTTCAAATTTTAGTTTTGAATAAAAAATATATCAACTAAACCAGCCAGGGACCACGCCTGCGGGCTGCGGCCTGCCACCTTTGGGTGTCGCTCTCGGGATAAATTTCATAATTTGACATTAAATACGGACACCTTTTATTCGTCATCTAGTAATTTGCGCGCCTTTCCCAATTACACCGGCATGCGAATTTCTTACTGTAGTTCGGTGCCAAACTGCCATTCCGTTTGTCTGCTTAAGACGCGCCGTCCGTCCATCCGCTGGTGTCATCGTCGTCTGTCCACCGTCACCGCCATACCACGATAGCTTGGCGTGGCATACAGAACGATAGCATCGCCGATAGTGGCGGAGGATGAATAGAAAATGAGCATTCGCCGCTGTTCACCTCCTCCTATAGGCAGACACGATAACATCGTTGCCAATCTATTAACTTATTAAAGTTTAGAAATTCTCACATTACTTAAAGTATCTACTATTATAAAAATTAAAAATATTTTTGCCGGCACTTTGGTAAGTCATCCATGTATGAGTCGATTTTGGAAATACAAAATTAAGTTTGATCACTTTTGAAAATACATATTGTTTTTAAGTCGGGTTTAAGTTCGTTCGTTTTTGAAAATATAGAAAGAGTCGTATAAGAATTCTCTTTAAAAAAACTCTCATGCTAACTTAAAACGATCGGACTTTTAATTGCAGCTTATGAATTTCTAATAAAATATATATCTAAGTGAACTTCTACAGCGAGTTTCACCTTAACTAGACCGTATAAGAACAATAAAATTAAAATAGCTTTCACCCGCTGCAACGCACGTGTATTTTTTTCTAGTAAAATAAAAAATATGAGAATTCAAAGCAGATAAGGACTCTTTCTTTTTTTTCTTTTTAGAAAAACAAGGATGGTAGCCCGCGTATTCACGCGGGCATGTATATCATAAGCATGTATTTGAAAAACTTAAGGATTGAAAATCAACCATATAACACTTGCCAAGCTTTAGAAGTACGTTTTCTTCATAAATTTATTTGCTAGCTTTGCTTAAATAATTTTTATTAGGTATTTGTTATCTTCATACTACGTAATATTTAATTCATCTCTATAAGTAATTATTATTTTCTTCTTCATCATTTAAAAAGGAGGTAGACTTAGTTTATTTAGAAAATATGTCTAAAAGTTCAAATTAAAAATACGATGCTTTTTCTTTTTAAATTGAATGTTTTGGGACTTTTTTTTAACAAATCTTAAAAAATATTATTGTTAATAATGGACCATTAAGCTAGCCCTCCTTTTAATTGGTTCATATTAACATAATTTGTTATACATATATTTATATATGGATCAATAAAGATAGATTAGATATATGTATATATCGTGATCTTGCTTCCAGGAGACGTGCACATGTACGTCTGACATTAGGAGGAGAGGAGTTTTGCTTCCTTTGAGATAGATTCAATGGTTTCACCAACTTGAGTTATCTATATTTACAAACATAATAATGACCCAACCCAAAGTTATGTACTTATTAAATATCTATTTTCTAATTAAAATTGTTTATTATTGCATATTGTTCTATTAAAATATATGTGTTGTTAAATAGATTGTTAAAATATCTATATGATTTTCCGTATAAATGTGTTTTATTTCTTTTACTAAATATAGTTAGTTTGGGTCTTGAACTATAAATTTTGTGGTAAATAATCTAATGATCTAATGATGTATTATGTATTTTCTACATAATATAGCATGAAGAGGAGTAAGGAAAGGATATACTTGGCATACATACGTGCACACAACGTGCACTGGTGATACACAATACGGATTTAAAGTGGGTCCACTCTATGGTTTTCCTTTTTAAGAATTATTAGATATTCCTTAAATTTATTAAAACGCTATGTGGCGACTTAGAAGCATTTATAGGAGTTATACATGGCGGCTTGAGAGCGTTTGTAGGAAGTGTCGACGTTTGATGTCGCGATTCCGGTATTTGTATTGTATGGGGATCGTTGGTACTAGGATATACGCGAGACTGAGGTAAAAGAGACGGAGACGAGGATTTTTATACAGGTTCGGGCCCCTGAATTGTCAGGTAATAACCCTACATCCTGTTAGCCGAAGCCGATATTGCTCTTATTCACCATAATTACACCAGTACAATATGTGAGGTAACCTATCTAACTGTTGTCGACATGACGGTCTGAAGGTCTGACTCGTAGTCGACAATAGGGTAGTCTTCCTCCTCGAATCCATGCCCAGCGAGATCAGAGATAACGCTTTCGTCTCTCCTGATAGTATCCGGAGACACCATAGGGGACTAGCCGTGCTTATCCCTGAAGTCGATATCCGGCGTTTTGTCTTGCCGTATGTAGGCTTGTATGTTTTGGCTTCTGTTGTTCCGTAGATTGTGGTGGGTGTTGATTGAGGTGGTCGTGTCCCCTCTCCTCCTAGGGGGTCTTGTATTTATACCCATAGGTGTCCCCTTGTCTAAATAGAACTAGGGAAACCAATATGGATACAATCCGAGTACTTATCGTTTCCATGTAGAACTCTGGTTGTCTTTCCTTATCTGGAACTCCCTCCATATCCGAAGTCAGTTTCCGTATAAGACATGGTACGTGGTGGGTCCTGCCGAGATGTAGTCGACTACTAGTAGGTATGTAGTATCCATAACCCTGACAGTAGCCCC